TGTAGATTGTAGGACTATCAACAACATCACTGTAAAATATAGACATCCCATACCTAGGCTAGATAATATGTTGGATGAATTGCATGGGGCTAACATATTTTCCAAAAGTGATCTTAAAAGTGGATATCACCAAATAAGAATTAAAGAGGGAGATGAATGGAAAACTACTTTTAAGACCAAATTTGGACTATATTAGTGGTTAGTCATGCCTTTTGGCTTGACCAATGATAAGTGTCTAGTTTGCATCATTTTTAATAGCGCTTTATTTGAGTTTTCTAGTTTATTTGTGTTAGAATTCCCCTTAATTCCAATTGTTTTCTTCATTCCACACATGTTATTTGGGTGTCTCAGTTTTGCAGGAATAGCTTTGTTATAGGTTTATAAACTTAGAAACGGGAAGCATTTGATGAAGCATTGGATGGAAAGGAATTCAAGTCACTAAAAGCACAAAAATAAAACCTTGGATTGCGTTGTAAAAGAAAAGAGAAAAAAACACTTCAGCGCCTTAAAGCATTGTTAAAGAGCATTTTGGGTGAAATTAAGTGAAATCCACTGGCAGTGGGTTTTTCCCACTGGCAGTGGACTTCACTGGAAAATGGCACTGTGGCGTAAAACAAATCCACTGGCCATGGGTTTTTCCCACTGGCCGTGGACTTCACAGGAAAATGAGCATTGGGCCCCTGTCACGATCCACTGGCCATGGGTTTTTCCCACTAGCCGTGGACTTCACTGGAAAATGAGTATTGGGGCTCTGTCACGATCCACTGGCCGTGGGTTTTTCCCACTGGCCGTGGACTTCACTGGAAAATGAGTATTGGGCCCCTGTCACGATCCACTGGCCATGGGTTTTTCCCACTGCCAGTGGATTCTGCACGTTTTGTATTTTTCCTAAATTAAAGGAGCGGTTTTTGAGCATAAAAGATATAAAAAAGAAGTTACAGAGCATAAAGAGAGACACGAAGACGAGAGGCGTTTTTGCTTTTCATAGACGGAACACGAAGTAGTCTTGTGATTAAACTCTCCGTAGAAGGAACTTCTTCTCCAGTTAAAATATGGTCTCTAACATGATTAAATTCTGGATTCATAGTCCTACGAATCATTACCATATAGAATTTATCCAGATTCGTCTTTCTTTCCTCTCATGATTCTGCCTCTAGGAACATTTTTAATTCTTCAACTGCTGATTGAGTTTTAGCAACAAAGGACATCATGGAATTATCCTCTTGCTTAAGGGAGGCTAGTCTATTAGCAGAATCATAGAGTCGTTAAATATCAATAGCAAAGATATTTTGGGCCTTTTTCCAAAAGGAATTACATGTCTTGAAGGATCGAAGAGTGCTCAAAATATTTGGTTCAACAGATTGTCATAATAGTGCACAAAGTTGATAATCCAGTTTCTTCCATTGAGGAGCCTGATCTAATAGTTTAGTACTTCCATCTTCTTCTAGATGATCATGAACTCCTTGTCCTAGAAACCAGAGCACAACAGAGGAAGCCCAAGACAAATAATTTTTCCCATTTAATTTTTCTGTGGTTATAGTCGGAGTCCCAGAAAAAGATACAGACACAGGTCCTAACATTTTTCAGGAAACAAGAGAGGATCAGCATGCTATCTATGGAAGCAGAGAGAGGTAGATAAAAGACCGAGAGTGGCAAAGAGAAGACCTGTATATGGAGGCAGAGAGAGAACCGAGAGAGGCAGAGAGAATGCAGACCCACCAACGTTTTGTGACAGAGAAACACAAAACAAAGTGCAGATCTGGCTCCAGGGCAACGAGGCGAGCCGGATAAAGGTGGTCTGGAGCAAAACAGCCACCAGGAGGGCGACGCGTGAGGCTCATGCGCGGAGGAAGCCGCGGACAAAGGTGGCGCGTGGCGGCACGTGAGGCAGAGAAGGAGAAAGTGATCACTGGGGTTAGGTCGCACTCCTCGAGGCAAGCCTAACCCAAGTGTCAGAGAGAGAAACGAAGCCGGAGAAATACTGCACCGGCGGCGGACGACAGCGGACGGCGGTGAGCAACGATTAATGCCAAAAAAAAAAGAAGAGACAGGCAGAGCGGGATGAATCTGCTTTGATACCAACTTGAAATAGAAAAAAGGAAAATAAAGAACTGATTTTGAGAGCCTAAAATCATTCTCTTGTGTTCTCTTATTTATAGGAGATAAAAATACAGATTCAGAGATACAATTAATAGAGAGAAATCATTAATCCTAGAGAAGATAAACAGATGCATTCTAGGAACTAGGTCTACAACTAATCTCATAAATGCCCAACAAGATACAACTAATCTAATAAATACTTCAACAAGATAATAAAGGTCATTCCATTCTCAAGCATTTCCAATCATACTCCCCGAATTCTTATCCTGAAATACACAATGATCTTTGAAAAAAACAACTTTACATGACAAATCTTTAGAAGTTTTTGTTTAGAGACTAGGTTGGTGGACAACTTTGGGACATGGAGAGCATCTTTAAAGGTTATTAAAGGATTGATTTGGATATATCCTTGACTAGCTGCAGTTATAAGGGTTCCATCTACTGTGGCAATTTTCTTGTTGCTGGGACATGGGGAATATGTAGAGAAGTGTTTGGCTAATGGTGTCATGTGGTCTGTGTCTCCAGAGTCCAATATCCAATAATGGTTAAAAGGTGTACCGGAGACATTTAATCCAAAAGAAAGTGAAAACTTACCTGAGTATGTCAAAGAATACACCTGTAGGTTTTTCCAGCTTACTAAGAAAGGTTCTCACCCTTTCTATCTCTTCTTGGTTAAATGTGCAGCAGCTTCTAGATTATTTCCTTCATTTGTTTCAGCAGCAACAAAAACATGTCCTCCTTCCCTTGACTTTATAGCAAGAAGGTGCGATGCAGCAATAATGCAGACTGTCGTCTTAGGGTTAAGAAAAATGAAGCAATAATGCAGGTTGTCGTCCTAGAGTTAAGAAAAATGCAGCAGCAATGCAGGCTATCATCTTAGGGTTTACTGTGCGTAGACAGAGCTTCCTAGATCGGAAGCTTTGATGTTAGGCTTTAGCTCTGATATTATATTAAGGTTCCAACATAAAATCAATTGGCAATATGTGGAGTAGCCTAACATGTATTTAAACCATACTAAATGACATGAAACAGGCGATGTGGGACTTTCAACAAATCCAATGACCTCTATCGCCTTAATTGGACTTCCCTTGTTGAATTAGTGACATCTCTTTTAATCCATGCATATGGACTCAAACAATCACCTAGAGATTGTTTGGTAGAATTAGTGTAGTGATTCAACAATTTGGTATGACTCGAAGCAAGACTAACCATTATGTCTTCTATTGTCACTCACCCACTAGCTTTGCTAGTTCTCATTATCAATTAGAAAAAATATTTAATAAATTACTAAGGGATCCTTGGATTAACTACATGTGTAACAAGCTTGGTTCAAATGACCTATACCCTACACCTTGAGGAGAAGAGTTAGAATCCTATAAATATTATATTAGAATCTAATGATGATTAGGATCAATTAGAATGACTCTACATCCATGTTATTAGCCTGAAATAGGGAAACAAAATAATATGTAATTATGCTCTCTTCCATATAAATTGAATAACTCAATTGTGCTCCAAACACATGGAATTCATGTCTTCGATTTTTGTCTTCTCAACAATTTGAAAGGAAAATATCATGCCAATTATTGCTCATTAGTAGATATTGATTTTGTTCCTTATTATTCTCTCTTCTTCATTATAAATAAGGATACTCATGTGTGTAGACAACACATGGAATTCATTATATTCCTTCTCAGTTTCTTTCTTCACAACATGAAGTGGTATCATCCTCCATGACCTATTTTGTCATTAATCCTTTCAACAATTAGCTTATGTGTAACTAGTTAGCCAAACTGTAGGATAGCATTTATTGCAGAATAGCCATTTTCAAGGCTAAAAATCATATTGTATCTTCACTATATTCTCAAGTGGGGAACAAAGTCTAATAAAATCTTCACTGTCATTAAAGATCAGAAGAACATACCCAGTTTCAAGCATTGTAGTAGGATAGAATTGCTTAAAATCCTCCGAACATATATCTGGCCATCCAAGGGTACTAAAAGGCCAAAGCGCACTGATAAAATATGAGTCTATAGTTAGTCCAAACAATTGACAGAAGAATCACAAGAATTCTAACATGTTTTGTAGATCAGGTTTCGGAACTGAAAATGACCACATCAGGTTTAAAATTTGCCAAACATCAAGTTAAAATATTTTCATCAAACAATTTGAGCAACTAAAACACAATAAGCATACACGTGATGGCTTAGAAAAATCAAAACTCAAGGAAAAAACACTTACAAAATTCATAGGACAACAATGAATGTCATAATGAAAAAACTCAAAGAACACCAATATATACTTTAGTTTACACAATAATATCTAGGTTACGAATGCCTATCTAAAAAAATGCTTTTAAAAGTTTTCAGCAATTCTTCCAAAAAGGAAGAGAGCATTCGTTAAGTAATGTCAAACTTCAAAGTTTTGAATAGACCACGTGGATACAAAATTCTAGCACAACTTATTGTCCAAAATGCGAAATTACGTACACGTGGAGAAATTTTAAAAATGTACACTGATGAAGCCCAATCCTTCGTCATGTATATATAGAAACACCATTAAAAACATTACTGGAATTACTAAACCAATCTTTGAAGCAGAGGTGAAGAACATACAAAACTGTAAAGAGGAAAAGAACAAGGGAATTGTCATTTAGAAACATAATTAAGGTATGAAGAGATAGGGGACACCATAGACTTCAATTATCTGTCATTAGCCAGGAAATAGCACACAATTCAATACATGTGGGGCGAACACTCAATACCCCATATACTACTAGATGGGTGCCTAAATACATTTGGGAACACTAGTTAGAGACTTGACAACATTATCATTTCTACAATGTACAAAAAGAAAGCCATGTAGATGCATTTAAAATTGAAAAAGATATATAAAATAAACTACCTAGAAAACCACGTATCAAGAACATCAGGATCTTGATATATTTCTACATCCTTCCCATATTTCATGCGAGCTTTCTCAAGTGCTTCTTTAGCATTTCTAGCAACTATATATTCTTCTTCATTGTCTTTTCCAGCAATGTACCATACAGGTAACCTGTGTCCCCACCATAGTTGTCTGCTTATACACCAATCCTTAATGTTGCAAAGCCAATGGTTGTAAATCTGCCATGAATATAATAATTACATTGTATTATTTATTTTTTTTTTCGGAAAATATTTATAAGAAACAAGAGAAAGTACACAGGGGAGGGTATGGTCTCGTTTAAAATGTAAGACGAAAAAGAAAGAGGTATAAATGAATGGATGAGGCTGCACATGAATCTGTTTGGCTGATTGTGCATTGAAGAAAACTACTATTGTCATGGCGTAGATGTAAGTGTCATAAAAAGAAGGATCTATACACAGGCTGAGCATTACGGGTGGAGTTACCCTTGATGGCAAAAAACCATTGGGTTTTGAGCAATCTGATCAGCCTATAGGTTCCACCAGAACTGCTGGACAGAATATTCATGTGATAGTCATTGTAACAAACCACATCTTGCATGTTGATATACTTATATTCTAATAAAAACTAATGCACGGACTGCCCAGCCCAAGTGATTGGATGACATAATGTACCAAACTCTCACCTGATGAATTTCAGGGAGGGTGGAGACGTTCATGGTCTTATGTGCCAAGGACTATTTCTAAGACTTTCACTAGAAACCTCCACATCAAAATGCACCCTATCATTGTGAGTTTGGCTATTTGACGCAATGATAAGATTTGGAACACCAATTAATGATGGAAAAGGCTAATTTCCCTATCAATGAAGTTTCTATTGAAAAGCAATTTACTTTATGAACCAAAAATTAAAACAGAAAGAAAAGAAAGGTTTGTATTGAATAAAATGAAAACAAGAAATAGAAGAACACTCTACTCTGAAAGTTTTCCCCTTCACAGAAGATTTCTCCTTTCACAAAGAGTCAATGCTTAATATAACCAATTTGTTAGGAACCAAGAATTCAAAAAGAAAAAGAAAAGAAAGATTTTTATTGAATAGACTATAAAAAACAAGAAATAGGAGAGCACTCTCTCCTCCAAGGGTGTACCCTTCACAAAGAATTTCTACTTTTACAAAGAATCAATGCTCAATCTACACAATGAACCCCTTCTTTTCTTACCCCTTCCGTCTTACTTATTTAACTCATAATCCCTTAACTAACTAATCAATATCCAAATTGTATTAAGTAACTCCCCCTTTCCCATAGTCCTAATTGTTACATTTTAAGTGACAATCACAAATGTGATAGGAACTCAGTAAAGTATTTAAATATTTGATTCTTCTCCCTTAAATATTTAAATCTTTTGAGGCAGTGTTCTCCAAAATGTTTATCAATTGGTATCAAAGTTGGTTGTTGATGTCCAAGAAAGGCTTACCAATGAAGGGTCTTGACCGGTGGAGGGTTCTAACCAAAGAGAAAGTTGAAGAGAAAGTCGAATGAAGTGTCACTGAGTGAAATATTTTAATAATTGTGATAGAGTTACCAAGTAAAATGTCTTTATTGAATATTGAGGAAATAGGGTTTGAGATTAATCTCCTTTGTGTATAAACCACACATAGGGTAATCTATTTATAATAGAGAAATATACAATTAAAAGAGTCACTGAAAGTAAATAAAATAAACAGAAGATATTGTTTGATATTGTGGTTAACAATATCTAACACTCCCCCTAAAGTTGGAGCATACAAATCGTATGTGTCAAGCTTGTTACAAATATAATAAATCCTAAGCCCCCGTAAAGACTTAGTAAAAATATCTGCTAACTGATCACTTGAGTTAACAAACTCAGTCTTGATGTCTCCAGACATAATCTTTTTTTGAATGAAATGACAGTCAATCTCACTGTGTTTGGTCTTCTCATGAAAGAGAGAATTAGAGCTAATATAAAGAACAACCTGATTGTAACACACAAGTGTCATTAGAGTGACATCTCCAAATTGTAACTCTCTAAGCAATTGCTTGAGCCAAACAAGTTCACAGGCAGCTAAGGTCATAGCTCTATATTCCGCTTCTGCACTATATCTTGCCACAACACTCTGCTTCTTACTTTTCCACGAGATCAAGTTACCACCAATGGAAACATAATATCCAGATGTAGATTTTCTATCACAAGGAGATCTTGCCCAATTAACATTTGAGTAGCAAACAATTCTTGTATGATTATTATAACCATATAACAATCATTTTCTAGGAGATCCTTTAATATACTTCAAGATACAAATGACTGCATTCCAATGATGCTCACATGGGTAATTAAGAAATTGGCTTACCACACTGACTATAAAGGAAATGTCAGGACGAGTAACTGTAAGATAATTCAATTTCCCAACCAATCTTCTATACTGCTCACGATCAAATATAGACTCCCCTTGATTTGGAAGAAGTTTAGTGTTGGGATCCATGGGTATATCAACAGACTTTGAACTCATCAACGCAATTTCCTCCAAAATATTCATGACATACTTCCTCTGAGATATAACAATACCATTATTGGACTGTGTCACCTCAATACCCAAGAAATATCTGAGTTTGTCAAGATCTTTGGTCTGAAAATGATGACAGAGATGTTTCAACTAAGAGATGTCATGGTTATCACTACCAGTAAGAACGATGTCATCAACATACATTATCAAGTAAACACATCCAGCACTTGAGTGTCAATAAAAGACAAAATGATCTGCTTCACACCGAGTCATACCAAATTGTTGAACAACATCGCTAAACTTTCCAAACCTGGCCCTATGAGACTGTTTTAAACCATATAGAGATTTGCAAACACGACATACCATTCTAGAAGACTCCCCCTGAGCAACAAACTCAGGAGGTTGCTCCATATAGATTTCTTTTTGTAAATCATCATTGAGGAAAGCATTTTTAACATTCAGTTGATAAAGAGGTCATTGTTGAAGAGCAATCATGGCGATAAATAAACCAACAGAAGCCATCTTTGCCACAGGGAAAAAGGTATCTCCATAATCCAACCCAAAAATTTGAGTATAACATTTGGCCACAAGACGAGCTTTGAGGCGATCAATAGTACCATCAGGTCCAACTTTGATAGCAAACACCCACCTGCAACCAACAACAGATTTCTCAAACGGTAACGAGACCAATTCCCAAGTTCCACTATTATGAAGAGCACTTAGTTCATCTGTCACAACCTGATGTCAACCAGGATGGGCTAAAGTTTCACGGACAGTTTTTGGAATGGTCACAAAAGAAATAGAGGAAAAACATGGATAAAAGGTAATGATAGTCGATGATAACTCAAAGTAATATAATGGAAAAAGGGATTACGTGTAAAACGGATACCTTTTCGGAGGGCAATGGGAAGGTCAGACACAGGTGTCAAATCCGGAGGAGACAGATTAGTTAGCACTTGAATAGAGTCACATTGTGCTTATTGTAATTGGTTTCAACGACTATAAACCTGAAGAGGCGGTGGATAAGAAGTTGACTATAGAGCAGGAACTAATAGTGAAGAAGACACAGTTAGAAGGTCACAAACAATAGGAACATTAAATGTACTAGGAGTGTTGACAGAATTGGATGGAGACAGAGGTGAAGATTGACTTTTAAAATAAAGGGAGAACTCATCAAAGGTGATATCTACAGACACAAAATAACGAGAAAAACATTTGTATCCTTTTTGTGATCTTATAAACCCTAAGAAAACGCATTTATGTGATCTAGGAGAAAGTTTGTCAAGACCAGGACTTCAATTATGAACAAAATATATAGACCCGAAAACTCTTGAGGTAAGGGATAAAGAGGTTCATAAGGGAATAAAATGGAATGAGGTATTTTATTATCTTAAACTGAAGACATGCGATTAATGAGATAACATGCAGTAAAAAGAGCATCACCCCAAAAATGTTGAGGAACCTCTCCATGAATTAAAAGAATACGAGTTGTTTCAATAAGATATATATTTTTACGTTCAACTACTCCATTTTGTTGAGGTGTATAAGCACAAGAAGTTTGATGCAGAAGCCATGAATTGTTTAAAAGAATGAGAAAGATATTCACGGTCATTATCACTGCGCAAAATTCTAATAGAAACATCGAACTGAGTTTGAATTTCATTAAAAAGAAATTGAAAGATATGAAATAATTTAGAACGATTTTTCATCAAAAATAACCAAGTGCATCTGGAATAATTATCAATGAAAGTAACAAAGTATTGAAAATCTAAAGTAGACTTATATGATTGAAAACCCAAATGTCAAAGTGAACCACAACAAAAGGGGACGAAGCACCACGTGTGATACTACGAGGAAAGGAAGTACGACTATATTTGCCTAATTGACATAACTCACACGCCAAACTAGACAAATTGGACAAGGCAGGGACAAGCTTTTGTAACTTGACAAGACTTAGATGACCTAACTGAGTATGAAGAAGAGAGGGAGACTCCATAATTGCACCAACATGTGTAGAGAGACGGAGATGATAAAGACCATGAGACTCACATCCTGTGTCAATCACCTATTTTGAACTCCAGTCCTGTAAACACATAGAATTATTAGTAAAAGAAACAACACAATCAAGAGAACAAGTTAGACAACTGATGGACAACAGGTTAAAAGGAGACCCAGGGACATAAAGAACATTATTAATGGTTAAAAAAGGGAAAAGTTAAACAGTTCCAACACCATGAGATGATACTCTAGAGTCATCAGCCAGTGTAATAGAAGATAAAGGATTAGAAGAGGATAAAGAGAAGAACAAAGATTTGTTACCAGTAATATGATTAATGGCTCCTGAATCAAAAATCCAAGGACCAGGAAAAGAGGATTGGGTCAAACCAACAAAATATGTACCTATGTGTGCAACAGGCGTAATGGAACTAAAAGATTGTTGATCCTCATACCATTTGAGAAATTTGTTGAACATAATAGGTGTGTCGGATGCAACAGAAGGAGGATCCCCAGCAGACAAAGGTGGGGAAAGATTGGCCTGAACAACTGCAGCAGATCGAGGAGGACAACCATGTAATGCATAACACTTGTTAATCTTGTGACCTAACTTGCCATAATGTTCACACTTAGGGCGCCCTTTTCCTTGTTTGCAAGGGTGAGTCCGGTCATCACAGTGAGATATCAACGCAAAAAAATCATTAACAGCATTTGAAGTAGTAGGAGTGGAAGAAATCATGAAGGACGAGAGAACAAACCCTAAAAAATTCAAAGTAATCTAATCAATCCACGAAGCACAGATCCAAAACGAGAAGACCAAAACAAGTCCGTCAAGACTAAACGGCACAAGAGACAACGGACAACCAACTACGATAGTAGTGATCTCAACAGCACGGTGGTCACCTGACCGAGACGGGTAAAACCGTATGTCACCGGTCAAAAATGAAACTCCGGCGACTGCTCCAACGAAGTCTCCAACAGTGGTGGCGGCTCCGGACAACAGCGGTGGTGGTGGCAGTGGACAAAGGCAAAAATAAAATTCAAAATAAGGCGGCAGCGGCGGTGACAGCAGCGTAAACCAATACACCAGGTAAGTTCCTAGGAAAGAGAGGTGGGTCACTAATGGACACGCTTAAATACCAAGTCTTTTATTGTCAGAACCTTCCTAGACATGCACTTTCACACAACCAAATAATATTCAGCAACAAAGATAACTTTTATTTTATGTGAAGATCAGTTTAACCGGCAGTGGCGAATGTGGCGGCTCCAGCAGTGGACAAAGGCAAAAAAAATTTCAAAATAACCTTAAGCTCTAGATACCATATTGAATATTGAGGAAATAGGGTTTGAGATTAATCTTCCTTGTGTATAAACCACACATAGGGTAATCTATTTATAATAAAGGTACAACTAAAAGAGTAACAATATCAAACAATATTTAAACAATATCTAACAGTCTTCATAACTATGGGATATTTAAGTGTTTGGTCCTCTCTTAATAACTAGGTTTTGAGGTTGGGTTCCCTTTATGTTTAGGTGCTTATCAAAGTCAAATATATTAGTTCTTTAAGAGGTGTCAAGACTAGGTAAAGGGATTTGTCAAGGAAAAACTTGTGTGAAGAAAACACTTTCTACACAAGCAAAACCAGTGTATTATTTTAAGCAATAAAACAGGCTCTGACTACATATGCATGTAAGATGGGTGTGTATGTCAATGAATATGCACACCTTCTGAAATCTTTCTGGAATTATGGTTAATTCTTTTTTCTCAACTGCTTGAAGTGCTTTCTCAGCAAGAGGCTCCATACTCACAAACCACTGCTTACTAACAAGTGGCTCTATCACCTAGTTGAACAAGGAAAAAAAAAAGGCCGACTGAGAAACAAATCAAAAAGGAAATAGAATGCAAATTATCAACTAGGAGCATGCTTTCTTACTTCTCCACCACGCTGGGATCTAGGAACTCTTAATGTGTGTGGTTCCTTTTTCACCGCCAATCCTGTCTCCTCCAGCTCTGCCCATAGTTTTTTTCGGCCCTCAAAACGATCAAGGCCACTAGTATTCAAGATATGATTTCCATATATTAGTCACAACAATGTATGGTAAACAACATCTTAATAAAATAGTTTTATGAGTACCTGTACAACCCAGTAACATCATTTAGTGTCCCATCCTTATTCATCACATTAAGTATCGGAAGACCAAGCTTTCGAGCTAGTAAATAGTCATTATGGTCATGTCCTGGACTAATTTTCAACACTCCAGTTCCAAAATCTTTATCCACTAGCTGTGACACATACATCAATCAATATAAACTAATAATGATAAGGGTTTCATATTAGAATTGTCCATGAAATATTGTTGGTTGCAAAATCATTTGTGGCAAAAGAAACAATACGTAGAAAATGTAAAAATATTAAATTTGCAACAAGGAAATATTATTGCCACAAACAGAAGTCAGAATTAAAAAGTAGCTATCAGAATACAAACAGTCTTATCAGGTTGGGATTGTACTAGTTGTATGAGAATGCACAATAATCAAACACTACAATAATAATTTAAAACTACTTTGGTTAAACAAATTACAACTTATATACCTTGTCAGCAATGATAGGAACATGACGGCCAAATGTCTGAGGTACAATTGCCATCATCCCAATATACTTGGAATATCGATCATCCTGCATTTTATGCAAAATACAAGATTTTAGGATTAGAAAGGAAAAACTTATAAACATTACTTTCAAGTACAAATTGTACAAAGCAATTTATAATGTAAGGTCAAACATATGATGGTTTCATATGCAAGAATCTAAACAGACGAGGACAAGCATCTTGGATGCTAGGTTATTAAATATACTTTTTTCAATATATGAAAATTTAAACTTCCGTGGTTACATACATTATATTATGAGGGAAGTGAAATTTGTTGTATTCTATTAGAATAACCGCATGAAGTTCAAGCATCCTATTAAAAGCATTTAGTGTTGATATGTATTAGAGTATAGAGTGATACTCCTTGTAGTTCTTCAATAGCTAACTAGTTATTGCCAATTTCTTTCCGTCTTAATAGGTTACTTGTTTAGTGAACTAACTAGTTATTGCCAGTTTCTTGGTTAGTTGTTTGACTAGCTAACTGCTAGTTAGTTTTCATGTTTTTATTCTATGAATCTCGTTGAACTTTAATATGGTTTCAAGACCTAAACAAGATCTTTGAGCCTCTTCATGGCTTCTAATTCTGTCCATCCTCCTCCTCCTCCCTCTTCACCACCATTGCCTTCATCAACTACTATTACCTTCTCACACTCAATTTCTGAGAAGCTTGATTCGAAGTATTACCTCCTCTTCACCACTATTGCATCATTATCTTGTCAATCCGTGAATTCCACCAAATTATGTTATGATTATGGATTGTGATGTGGATTGTGTCTTATCTATGATGCACGGATACGTTGAAAAGTCCAACGTATCCGATACCGATTCACCCAGATACTTAAAAAATTTGTATCAAACAAATCCAAAAAATACAAACAAAAAAACAGAATAACAAATATTTTTCTGTTATTATTATTGTTAAATTAATCAATTCAATTATTTTAATACTTATCAAAACATATTTCAATTATTTAAATACGTATCTCTTTTTCAACATTTTATTTTCAACATCTTATTTTGAGAGCTTATAGTTTTATGTTGAAAAAAAAATCCAAACAAAAATAAAAACAGAATAACAAATATTTATCGGTTATTATTATTATTAAATTAATCAAAACAGATTTCAATTATTTAAATATTTATCAAAACATATTTCAATTATTTAACATTTTATTTTCCTGGGAGCTTATAGTTTTGTTGCTGCCGCTTGTTTCTCCTTGATTTTTTATCGCTCCCTCCATCACGGGTTTGTTTCTTATCTATTAACGTTTGTTTTTTTTGTTTCATTTATCTTCCAGCGTGAAACTTTGTGCTTTTTGTTAGCGTGTTCTAACGTATAAGATTGCTTTCCTTTTTCTTTAGTATGTAAAACAGCACCAACTTATAGCGTGTTCCAGCGTGAGTTGATGTGTGCAAAACTTTTTCCACTTCATGTTCCTGATATCTGATATTGGGTGGTAGGTAGTATATTATTAATAAATTTTAGTTAATATATTTGGATTTCAAAATATATAATATATTATTAATAATATATATTATGTTTTTAGATTAACTTTATTTAATAATTATTTATAGTTTGTTTTTTTAATTAATTAAAATTTATTAATAATTTAAATAATTAATATAAATTTTAATTTTTATATAAATACTAATATTTAATAATTATATATAATATTTTTTTATGAATTATATATATATATATATATACATATATATATATACATATATATATATATAAATACATATATATATATATATATACACACACACACAAGTATCTTAAACATATCGTATCCTATAATTTTAATACAAGACAAATCACCGTATCGTATCCGATACTCATATCATATTTGTGCATCATAGTGTTTTATTCTCGCATAGTGTGGGAGCAGTACAATCAACTCCTACTCGTGTGGCTTCAATCTTTAATTTCAAAAGCTATGTTTACTTGCATCATTAGTTGCAAATTGAATGGGGTGGTGAATTCAGATCTTTGTCCAGGTTTCTTGTAAAAGTAGGAATTCAAAACAGAATTATTTGTCCTCATACCCATCAGTAGAATGGTGTTTTCCTTATACTATTCTCTTTAAAAGTTCTCCTGGATTTTCAGTTCTTAAAAACCTTTGGTTGTGCTTGTTTTCCTCATCTTGGACCCTACAACAAGCATAAATTTGATCTTCAATCTCATGAATATCTTTCTTGGACATTCTACTTCTCACAAAGGGTACAAATGTCTCTCTACTAGTGGTAAAATATTCATCTCAAAAGATGTTATATTTAACGAACAAAAGTTTTCCTATACTGAATTATTTTCTACCTTAAACAGTAGTAACACTAGTCCTATTTCTTCCTCCTTTTACAATTCTATTTTTGTTGTTCTTCCTAATACCACTATTTCATCTACTTCTTCCTCTCAAACCACCGCATAAGTTCCTACAGTTTCTGAATCTTCCACTCAATCTATTGCTCAAACTGAATTTGAAACTCTTATGTCTCAAATCAGTCTGGTACCTCCACTTATACTCCTCCTATCAACACTCATCTTATGCAAACAAGATCTAAATTTGGTGTCTTGCAAAACAGGCTACATCCCTCTGTTTTTATGACACATTCTGAACCAAAAGGTTTTAAGATAGCCTTGAAAGATCATATTCAGTACAATGCTATGAATCAGGAGTTTGATGCCTTGGTAAAAACAATACTTGATTCCTTGTCTCTCTTCCATCTTCTCGGCAAGCTACAAGTTGTAAGTGGGGGTCTTCAGGGTCTATTGATGGCTCTTTGTGAATAAATATAAAGTTCATCTTGAAGCTAAAGATTTCCATCAAGAACCCGGGTTTGATTTTCATGAAACATTTTTTCCAATTATCTAATATGTTACTATTAGGATAATCTAGTCATTAGCTCTTGCTAGGCATTGGCCTCTTCTTCAATTAGATGTGAATAATGCATTCCTAAATGGTCTATTGAATGAAACTGTCTACATGCAACAACCCATAGGTTTTGAGGTTTCTAATCCCTCTTTAGTTTGCAAGCTCAACAAGGCTATCTATGACTTGCAACAAGTTCATCGTCAATGGTTTGATAAGTTCCAAGGAACTCTTGTTCAGTATGGGTTTTGCTCGTCCTACAATCAGCTATGCAGTTAACAAAGATTCCTAGTGTTTTGCTCAACCACTTGAATCTCACTTGGCTGCTGTAAAACAAATTCTCAAGTATCTAACAGGTACACTTTTATATGGTCTTCATCTAACTCCTATATCTTCTACCTCTCCTTTTTCTCTACAAACCTTTTGTGATGCAAATTGGGCTGTTTATCTTGATGATCGCAAGTTAACTTTTGGTGTTGCTATTTTTCTTGGAGAAAATCTCATTTCCCAATGGTCTCCCAAACAAACTATTGCAGCAAGATCCAGTACTGAAGCAAAATATCGAAGTCTTGTTAAAACAACCATTGAAATATTGTGGATTGAAACTCTTCTAAAGGAACTGGAATATCACATGGTCCCCCTAACATTTATCGTCATAACCAAAGTGTTGTGGCTCTTGCTCACAATCCTGTTCTTCAAGTAATAACCAAGCATATGCAAATTGATCTCTTCTTTGTCAGAGATAAAGTCCTATCAAAATATTTTTATGTTCAACATGTTTCAGCTCAAGTTCAACGGGTCGATGCTCTAACCAAACTCCTATCTGCTACATGTTTTCTATTTCTAAGGGACAAACTTAATGTGATATTTTCTGAAAATCATCAACCACCTTGAGTTTGAGGGGAGGTGTAAATAGTATATCTTCCAATTAGTTGTTTAGATTTTTGTTATTCTATTATTTTTTTTAGTACCGTTGTAACCCTCTATTTTATATAAAGAAACTCTTGTAATTCTGAAAGTGTGTGAATAGATATTCTCTTTTAGTCCCTCCTTCTCTCCCTTTCTCTCTCTCTATATATATATAGAGAGAGAGAGAGAGATGTGCAGAAGTCACATTAGGAGATGAGCCCTGGCAAGCAAAGCCATAAGAATTGAATACTATTGGTTGATATTAAGAGAATATTGTATGATTCAGTCTCAAGAGGTTTATTTCCCTTTTCCTATTTATAATCTTATTGTATCAAGTATGATTCAATGAAATATAATCTAAATCTCTGCATTTAGCATTATCTTGTGAACAACTTTGTAAAATTTGTTTTTTGTTATTACTATATGTCACCTAGGGCCTTAACTTTTTATATATTTTCTTCATACCTATGTCTTCAGACGTTTCATATATATGCATGAATCTGCTGAGAGCTTAGTGTCTCAAGCATCCATTCTCATGTACAATTAATAAACAAACAGATGTTTAAAAATAGTTCCAATTTAATGTTATATATCTTATAGAGGGAAAGGAAAGATGATTGCTCAACTATGTTCCACCAATGCACACAAAACATAATTTACTGCTCATGCTTAACTAGACTGACAACCAACCATGACAAGAAATCTATCCTACCTTTGGATTAACTGCTAGTGCCACATCACCAAATAAAGTCTCCGGTCGTGTTGTAGCCACAGTCAAGAATTCACTCCTACAAAACGATTAATCTCTAAACCATCAATGCTAACTGTAATTGAAAATCCACTAGGTGCATCCACAGAGAAAATAAATCTCATGTCAAAGCATGAAAATAAAAGAAATGACATAAAAAAGAATGATCAAATTCAGATGGAAAGATGATGATACCAGTTTTTTGTCATCACTACAATAGACATTGAAAAGATTAAATATTTCTAATTCATATATTTTGGTGTGATGATCAACAAACATTTTACCCACCAGCCGAAATAAGAACGAGTTAAGATAAATCTGGTGTTAACAATCTGAAAATTTTCAAGCAAACTGAAGAATCAAGACAATGACTGAAATGTTGATAGGAAGCTGACTCAATGGTTCCCTAAGGTTCTATACCCATGGGCTCAACATCTGTGGCGCACTTTAGAAATTGAACAGACATGAATTAGAGGACAGTTAGTTATGGAGAAGGAAAGACAATACTGGTTCTGTTATATATGAGGTGGAGCATAATGTAGGGATATGAGAAAATTAATCCGTAAATTGGGGTCTATTAGAGCATACTTAGTCACTTTTACTAAAAGCCGGAATACACCTTACCTCACTGTATCTTTTTTCTTTTCAGTACATGTAACTAATCAAAATATAATCAACTAGTAATGAATCATTTTTTGACAGATTTAAGAATACATAATTAGAAAAGATTTTATATTCTCTAATAATAAAGATATAATCTTGATACTTGTTATATGATAAAGATATGATCTTGGTATATGTATTAATAAATATACGATCCATATTTCCCTAATTATAACAAGAGACAAAAACATGGAAAATACAGATTTGTGAGAATAAGAGAGCAATGAGAACAAGATAGGAAGAGAAAACCTGGAGAGAAAAAAAATGAGAATAAGAGTTAAGAACAAGAGAGAAGTAAACAGAAACAACTGCTATATGAGTGGCCAGAATGTCACAAGAGGGTCACATTGGTTTTCGTAGGGTTACAAGGAAAGAGAAGAAACAAGTGAAACAGGATATTCTACAAGCTGAAACCCATTTTTTTACCTAAAATTACCTCCAAAAAATGCCCCTCTATTGTTAATACCGGAGGCCCTTCTCAGGATGGGATACCATAACAGTGCTAAAGCACTGTGGGATGCTGCTACTAAAGCAGCTACAGTGAAGTGTGACGCAATGGCAGCTCATATGGTGGCAAGTTGTTACTATAGCACGCTGTTCACAATTCTATTACATTTGAATAAAAACCTTATGAAAACATGAACTTAAAGGTAGTTTGAGGAAAAAAAAAAAAAAAAAGAAAAAGCTTGTATAAAAATTATATAAAAACATTGAAAATTTAAGGAAGCATCAGAAAATACCTTCCGGCAACACGATACTTGATATAATACAGATATCCAGACTCTTCTGAATATTCAACTTCCTAAGCATAAAAGGGAAGGTTCAATCTGAACATTGAAGAACCAATTAAGTAGTAACTAATAACAGTACGATAAATCCACGTGAAAAGTTACTAACCAAGTCAGAAACCGCAGTTTGTAGAGTAGGTGACCAGTTTACCATATATGAACCTGAAGCAAACAGAAACCAATGAGATTTGCATCATACACCTCTAGAGAACGTGTAAAGTGTGAATACAACATGTACATGCGTACAAATGTAACATTTAACAGTTGCCGAATTGAAAGTCGCTTTCAGCTATATTTAAGTTCATTAGGAGAGAAGAATAAAGTCAAGCTTCTAAAATGATAAATTTTCCAGGAAATATCTTTAAGAAGAGAAAGAGTAAGTTCAATATTAAGGGAGTGGTAAAAAATTCTGGACTCTTAAAGTAGTTAATAGATTTACAACTCTCTTTATCATATCCAATGGAGCATGGTGTATGTTATGCCTATAAAAGCCCTTTTGACATTTAATGACAAATTCATTCAGATAAAGAAGATAATTTAAACAGATGATTCGTGATTTTCCTAGATATACCAAAGAAAAAACCAGAAACTTCAGGAGTGGAAGCCACTATTTTAAAAACTGGACTAAACCGACCAGTTCAACCGGTTTAACCGAAAACCGGCCTAAACCAGTTGGGCTTTTGGGTTGAACTGGTTTTGGTAAAAAAAATTAAGATTAATGTTTTTAATATAAATTTTTATAAAATATATAATATATGTTAGATTTTTTTTTAAACCCATATTGGTTAATAATAGTTATTGTATCATGTTTTTATCTTATTTCAACAATTATCTATCTTACACTCTAGTATATTTTATATTTTTAACTTTCATTGAAACTTACAGTGACCATGATAGTAACCTTTATTATATTTTCTTTCTTGTGTAAAATAAAACATTCTTACTAATGAACTTATTATATTATAAAAATATTATTTTATTAAATCCGGTTAGACCCACCATTAAACCCTGAATTCATGTCTTCACCAGTTCAGTGACCGGTCCGGTTTTAAAAACATTGGTGGAAACCCTTATCTATCTTTTGAAGTACATATATTAAAAACAGAAATGTGGTGTCAATAACTTCAAATACCAAAATAAAATTATATTTTTCTATAGAAATTATACGGTTTAAGAATGGAGAAAAAGGCAAGAATAGAAACTCAGGATAGTTTACAAATAGTTTACAGTTGTAATCACTTTAGTGCCTATCATAACTAACCAAAGGCAGTCAGTTATGCTGAGCAGTCATTCAGTTAGATGAGCTGCAAAGTTTTTGTGCAAGTTAATTTGTTAATTCATTATGCTGAGATGTAGACTAGTCAGCATAGCTTGTGGTACAAGCTACTGGATCTATATAAGTACATGTACATGTACCTCAAAATAAGTAATGCAAATTCATTTCAGTTTACACAAACACATACAATGATGATATCAACTCCTATATTACAAATCTAACTCATCATTCTTAAACATGAGTACAGCACCTATTGTACTTTCTTGTATTGTTTAGCACTTAATTCTACATATCATTTCTAAAATACTCAAATTAGTAATTGTTTTAAGATTTTCAATTTGTGTTACGAATTCTTCATTAAAGTAAAATATCTTTTACAATAAGATTTTAATATTTCAAATCTCTATTTGAATTATTTTACATGTTAAAAAAAAAATTTCCATCCCAAATAATAACTACCTATTTCTAAATTCCTCTTGTCCCTTCACTCTAAGCTACTTATATTTTCTACATAAATTACAGGCAAAAAAAATATTTACCTCTCCTAAACTTCACTTCATTCATGAAGTGACACCTAAATAGAACCACCAACTTTAATTTTGTCTCACTTAATCATTAATTTTAGCTCTTTTTGCTCATGGACACCAGAATTTCAATTTCATCTCAATTGATTTATAAAGTTACCCCTTTCATAAATAGTATTAAATTTGGTTAAATTACTCATTAAAAAGAAATCTCAACTATTTATTTATTTTAATATCAACTATTTATTAGTTTAACTCATATTAATCACTTTTCCAAAATTAAAGATAATAAAAATTACAATCAAAACAATCAAACAAAAAATTTAATTAAATTTATCATTTACCCTTTTTATATCTTCTAAATTCGTTTCATTGTAATTTAAATATAGAAAAATTAGTTCTAACAAAAATAAAAAATGAATGATTAAGATTTAAGATAAATAAATTATTAGGCGGTCGTTTCAGTAAGTATTTTAACTCTAACTTGACTATCACATCAAAAAATGGAGCTGAACTAAAAACATTTCCTGAGTAGACAATCGGGACATAGTAGAAACATGTTCGAAAAACAATGTACAACATCTCTTCCAGGTCACAGCCCAAGCACGGATCAGGGAACCAGCTCCAAACCTCCAAATTGCAATGCTAGGTGCAAACAGGATCGGAAATGGGAGGAAACTCATACGATCGTACAAGTATTATTGCAATGTCGACAACAATGCTTCCAAGATTTCACTAGTTACAAACATTCTAGAACACTAAGGTATTTTTTGACTCAACTTTCTTGAGCTTCACTTTAAAAGGAGAAAATGAATCAAACATATTTTCTGAATAACTTATATATATATATATATATATATATATATATATATATATATATATATAAAAAAAAAAAAACTCAGTAGAATAATTTTTATAAAAGAAAAAAAAAGTAACCATTTGAAAGATGTTAGTTAATGGAGATTTTAAAACAAAATTTGCAATGTAGTTCCAATTTTGGGTAAGATTATATTCACTAGTTACAAACATTCTAGAACACTTAAGGTATTTTTTGACTCAACTTTCTTGAGCTTCACTTTAAAAGGAGAAAATGAATCAAACATATTTTCTGAATAACTTATATATATATATATATAAAAAAATAAAAAAATAAAACTCAGTAGCATAATTTTTATAAAAGAAAAAAAAAGTAACCATTTGAAAGATGTTAGTTAATGGAGATTTTAAAACAAAATTTGCAATGTAGTTCCAATTTTGGGTAAGATTATATTCAATTATGGAAGTACGTAGAATTTCCCATCAAACTATATTAAAAAACGTTACTTGATTGTAAAAAACTAAGTTGACATTAATTTGATTCAAACAAGTTACTGTGACAACAAATTAGTTTCGAATTTAAAAATATCAATTGGGTTCCATAAACATTGAAAGTTGATGGCTCGTAATATACCTTATAAGAATAGAGAGGACAAGTAAATACGAAAGGGCTAGAACGTGTTACCTGATATTGACACTCACCATTTATTCAACTGAGCCGACTCAATGAAACAGTTTATTAATAAATGACATTTACTCTATCAATTTCACATCAAAATAAGCAATTATTTCTTCAAAACAAACTAAATCAAACGCACACCAAAACAAAGTGTAAATGAAATATATGCTATATTGTAAATTAAGTTTATACCTTGATAAATCAAACCTTTCTCATGAAGTCTAACAAATGCCTCAACTACTGCTTCTGCGTAAATTAATTATAAGGCATATTAGTATATATAACCTCATGGATAAACAAATGCTAACAATACAACAATGTTGGATACACATTTATGAGAAAATTCAGGTAAAATTCACAGGCATTGAAAAATAATGAGAAAGCACTAAATAAAAGTCATCAAAATTAAAAACAGCATCAATTATCTATAGTTGTATCACCATAATTTTTCCAATATGTTCCCATAGACTTTCTTAGCTAGAGCTCTAACGAGTAGAAAACTGTCTTACGACTTAGCTGTTCATCAAGTGTAAAGTGCTCTCTAGACCAATCACAAGAAGCACCAAGTCTCTTGATCTGCTTTGTAATAGTTCCACCATATCTAAACGAAGTAAACACATATTATGAGATTGAGAAGGATGAAGGGAGAAGATAAAAATATATCAATGAAGAAATGATTTTCCAGGTTCTAATTTAATCATGGAAAATATATAATTTTATAAAATGCACACTTTCATGAATCATCCTACTCTGATTGTGTGTTGATTATAGTTGAATATTAGAATATTTGCTGAAAATGCTTTAGTTTAAATCCAGTGGGTTTGAATCCGAAAAGATCATCTTAGCATATGCAAGGGTAAGGTTGCATTCAATGTCCCTCCCCTGTACTTTTTTATTAGAATAGTTGCTGAATCACATATTAAAACTATCTCTTTCACCTCCTCTCTCTGCTCTTACTGTAAACCTTCCACCCTTGGGCCTAGTTTCCTACCCAATGTTATCATTGGCGGGAGGTGAAATACGTCTTCCCCTCTTTAGTTGTTTAGCTTGTATGGGTTGAAGAAACATGCCCATTTCTGAGAGGTGGTAACAACATTATAATAACCAAGCCATTTTACCCAATACTCGGAGATCAATGTCAATTATTAATTCTTCTAACAACACAACTGTGAAAAGATGCACACAACAGTGAAGCTGCCATTCAAATCCTCTACAGAACCTGGCTGCTGTTGGTGGCAAACTCACCCAATGAATTATATTTTCTCATAGGTGGCCCAAATCAACTATGGCATCTTTCTTTTAAGAGCCTCAATCCAGATATGGTTTTCTCCTTCTATTTGGTCAAACCATTACTGCATCTCTCCTATAAAATGAAACATCATTATTCCCACATTGTCTCCGTCAACAATCCTTTGATTATAAAAAAATTCGTAACATTTAAACCATCCTCCCAACAGATCCTCAATGCCCTCAAGATTATGGAACATTAGGGGAGGAAGTACAAGTAAGCCTAAAATAAAAGTAAAGAAATCCCTAAACAATTACATATAAAATTATCCTACCTAATAAAACAAGGATCTATAATCATGATTTCAATATCCAGATCATATTATGACAGTAAAGGACAAAAAAACTCAAGAAACTAAAATAAATGAAGAGATGTGATAATCCTAGTCAATTGTCCACATCACATTCCGCTAAGGCTAGATTATTATGGAACTGGAACTAGGATATTAGGACAAAGTATCGTTTAGACATTAAATAGAGAGAAATGTAGTCAAAAAAATTTATTAAAAAAGAGATTCTTATCTCTTAACATTTATCCTTTATATAGTTCATAAACCAAAGATTTTACAATTTTTCACCATGTTCTACTGTCTTGTGGTAGGAAATGGTGAGATTTTGTCCCTTCTTTTGATATGGGAATTTCATTGGCTGCACAAAAACAAAAAATGCAGGTGGAAGAAAAATAAGCAAGGGTATGAAGATATACTTCTCTTTCCACTGCCAAACCCTTTTTGTGAATTCATCTCTATTCATTTCAGTCCGTTTTATTCCTTCAGAAGCTAGCATTCTTTCAACAACCAACTGGGAGAAAGAAAATAAAACTAAGTGGAAAAACAAGCAAGTAATTGGCATAAAATTCTATTGACAAAAATAAAAATGTATAACAAGAGACTACAAATCGATTTAATGTTGACTAATATAATTGTAAAGGCAAACCTTGGAAAGAATACAAGGCATTTAAAAATCCAAAGAAGAAGAAAACAGCTAGAATAGAAAGTCATATAGACAAAACAATAAATCTGGCCATAAAAATCACAAAGTCCAACCATAACGAGAATAAACCAACATTCTATTCTTCAGTAACATCATCGATAAAACCAGAGGAATCCAATAAAAATAATTAAAAGTATAGTCATGTGCATCCATTGAAGGCTCATTACAATATTAGCTTAGAATAAACATAACAGAGTTAATTCTCCTTAATAATTGTAGTAAAAGTGCAGCACCCTACTGACTCATGAGAATTGCAGTTCAGTTAGTTAGTTACACAGCTGTCACTTGACACCTGTTAAGTTATTTACTTTTCTATTCCGTTAGTTACACAGCTATCACTTGACAACTGTTAAGTTATTTACTTTGCTGTTCAGTTAGTTACACAGCTGTCTATGACAACATCCCCCAACTCTATATAGTATATATAATGTGTTCTCTAACTTTTTGTAAATGTGAATTTATTTTATCAATAACAATAGCTTTTCTGTCCCAATATTATTTATTACATCTTATGGGATACTACTATAATAGATAGATATTAATAAATACTTCAACACTCCCCCTTAAGCTGGCGCATACAAATTGAATGTACCAAGCTTGGAACAAATGAATTCCATTCAAGGTCCTCTCAAAGATTTTGTTAATGCATCTGCAAGCTGATCATTGGAACCAACAAACTCAGTACAAATTTCTTTAGTCAACAACTTCTCCCGAATAAAGTGACAGTCAATCTCAATATGCTTAGTCCTCTCATGAAATACTGGGTTGGAAGCAATGTGGAGAGCAGTTTGATTATCACAATACATCTTCATAGATTGAATCTCACAGAAGTTCAATTCTTGCAAGAATTGTTTTACCCAAACAAGTTCACAAGTGAGAGACGCCATTGCCCTATATTCAGCTTCAGCAGAGGATCGGGCAACAACGTTTTGCTTTTTGCTTTTCCATGAAATCATATTACCTCCAAAGAAAACACAATAGTCTGTAGTGGAACGCCTATCCATAGGAGATTCAGCCCAATCAGCATCACAGTACCCAAAAATTTGGGTATTTTCCTTATCTTCATATAATAAACCTTGTCCTGGAGCTTTTTTAATGTATCTTAAGATTCGAATGATAGCATTACAATGATCCACACAAGGAGCTTGCATAAATTGGCTGACAACACCAACTGCAAAAGACAAATCAGGTCTAGTAATAGTCAAATAAATAAGTTTCCTAACCAGTCTTCTATATCTTTCTGGGTCAGAGAAAACTTCACCCTGTCCTGCCATTAACTTCAAATTTGGATCCATAGGACTGTCCACAGGTTTGCAATCAATCATACCTATCTCTTTTAGAATATCTAGAGCATACTTCCTTTGAGAGATGACAATACCTTCTCTAGATTGAGCTACTTCAATACCCAAGAAATATTTTAGATTTCCAAGATCCTTGGTCTGAAAATGACTACACAAGTGCTCTTTTAGCAGAGATATTTTAGCAACATCATTCCCTGTGATGACAATATCATCAACGTACACAATTAAATAAACATGTTTGCCAGGGGCAGCGTGACAATAAAACACTAAATGATCTGCTTCGCTGCGTTTTAATCCAAAAGCTTGAACAATAGAGCTGAATTTTCCAAACCAAGCACGTGGAGACTGTTTTAGGCCATAGAGGGATCGACGTAATTTACAAACCAAACCAGACTCCCCCTGAGCAACAAATCCAGGAGGTTGCTCCATGTAAACTTCTTCTTCTAAGTCACCGTGCAAAAAGGTATTTTTAATATCCAATTGATGAAGAGGCCAATGCCGAATGGCGGCCATGGCAAGGAACAGGCGGACAATGATCATTTTGGCTACAAGAGAAAAAGTATCACAATAATCAAGTCCATATATTTGAGAGTACCCTTTAGCCACTAACCTGGCTTTGAGAAGATCAACTTGACCATTGGGCCCAACTTTAATAGCATAGATCCAACAACAACCAACCGTTTTCTTTCCCGAAGGGAGAGGAACAAGCTCCCATGTTTTGCTATGATCAAGAGCCTGCATTTCAGAAATCATGGTTTGTCGCCATCCAGGATGATCAAGTGCTTCGACCACATTTTTGGGAATTGTAATAGAGGATACAGAGGAAATAAAAGAACAATAGGAAGGAGACAATCTATGATAACTAAGAAAATTGTAAATGGGATAAGTATTACGAGTAGAACGAGTACCTTTGCGAATGGCAATGGGTCAACTGGAGTCATCGTTATCAGGAACCGTGGTATTAGAGGATGATGGAGAAGGACCTGTTATGGATGGCTCATCTTGGGGAATGGGATTGTTCTCCTGGTTCCTGCATTGATAGGTGATGATAGGCTGTGATGATGAGTCTAGAGTATTTTGGTTGGGATTTGGTGTATCAGGAATAAGAGGTACAAATGATTCAACTAAGGGAGTAGGAAAAACATTTTGGACAAAATCAATATCCTGCATAGAATAAGGGAAGGAGGAAGATTCAAAAAAGGTGACATTAGCAGACATGTAGTACCTCTTGGTTTCAGGAGAATAACACCGATATCCTTTTTGAAGACGAGAATACCCCAAGAAGACACATTTGATAGCTCTAGGTGAGAGTTTATCTAAGCCATGAGACATATCATGAACAAAACATATACATCCAAATACCCTAGGAGAAACATGAAAAATTGGTTCCTTTGGAAATAGAATAGAGTGTGGAACTTTATTGTGAAGAGAAGAAGATGGCATTCTATTAATGAGAAAGCATGCAGTTAGAATAACATCTCTCCCCAATCATGAATAGGCATATTGGCACCAAGCAATAAGGTACGTGCAGTTTCAACCAAATGTCTATTTTTTCATTCTGTTATACCATTTTGCTGTGGTGTGTGAGGACACGTGGACTGGTGTAAAATGCCTTGAGAATTTAGGACATTAGAAAAATCATTAGAAAAGTACTCTTTGACATTATCACTTCGTAAAACTTTAATTACTTTTCTAAATTGAGTTTTGATTTCATGAAGGAAAGACTTAAAGATAGGCAATAGTTCAGAACGATCTTTCATAAGATAAACCCAAGTACATCTAGAAAACCCATCAATAAAAGTAACAAAATATCTAAAACCAAAAGATGAAATACGACTAGGTCCCCATATATCTGAATGAACAATACTAAAAGCAGAATCGCATCTAGATTCAGAATGATTTGGAAAGGAAGACCTGGTATGTTTCCCTAATTGACAGGATTCACATTCAAAAGTTTGAAGGTTCTAAAGTTCAAGAACCATTTTTTTCAATTTTGCTAAATGAGGATGCCCTAATCGCTCATGTAACAGTTTTGGGGATAAGGATGCAACACAAGATACAGATGACTTAGTCCTAAGGTAGTATAAGCCTCCAGATTCATGTCCTTCTCCAATCAGTCGACCCGTACCACGTTCCTGGATAACAAAACAATTGGCACTAAAGGTTACTGAGCAATTCAATGATTTGGTTAATTGGCTTACAGAAACAAGACTGAATGGAAAAGAAGGAACACAGAGAACATTTTGAAGGTTTAAAGAAGAAGAGATGGATACTTGACCAATTCCTTTAGAAGCTACTTTAGATCCATTAGCTAAAGATATGATATGGGAGGTTCTAGGAAATGAAATAGAGGAGAATAAAGAGGTATTACCAGACATGTGGTCAGAAGCACCTGAGTCAATAATCCACGGATTTTGACTTTCCACAGATTGTGAAATGCAAGCAATTGACGAATTTGGTGTTGTAGATGCTTGAGCCAAATTGGTTGATTTCATCCTTAAATATTCTTGATACTCTTCATGAGAGAACTTGGGTTCATCAACTTCAGATTTTGAGGTATTAGTTGCCTTATCAGGAAAGTCGTGCAGAGCAAAGCAATTTTCCTTAGTATGTCCCATTCTTTTGCAATGAGAGCACTGAGGACGTCCTCTCCCACCACGTCCTCTATTGCTATGATTACCTCTTCCACGAGCAGAAATCATGGCGGAAGAATCAGCAAGTTCCTGACTGTTTTTGCTTTTGATAGAAGGAACACGAAGTAGCCTTGTGATTAAACTCTCCGTAGAAGGAACTTCTTCTCCAGTTAGAATCTGGTCTCTAACATGATTAAATTCTGGATTCATAGCCCTAAGAATCATTACCATATAGAATTTATCCAGCTTCGTCTTTCTTTCCTCTAATGATTCTGCCTCCAGAAACATTTTTAATTCTTCAACTGCTGATTGAGCTTCAGCAACAAAGGACATCATGGAATTATCCTCTTGCTTAAGGGAGGCTAGTCTATTAGTAGAATCATAAAGTCATTGAATATCGTTAGCAAATATATTTTGGGCCTTTTTCCAAAAAGAATTACATGTCTTGAAGGATCGAAGAGTGCTCAATATATTTGGTTCAACAGATTGCCATAATAGTGCACAAAGTTGATAATCCAGTTTCTTCCATTGAGGAGTCTGATCTGCTGGTTGAGTACTTTCATCTTCTTCTAGATGATCATGAACTCCTTGTCCTAAAAACCAGAGCTCAACAGATGAAGCCCAAGACAAATAATTTTTCCTATTTAATTTTTCTGTGGTTATAGTCGAAGTCCCAGAAAAAGATACAGACACAGGTCCTGACATTTTTCAGGAAACAAGAGAGGACTAGCGTGCTGTCTCTGGAAGCAGAGAGAGGATCGAGAGAGGCAAAGAGAAAAAATGAAGACCCACCACATTTTGTGACAGAGAACACAAAACAAAGTGCAGATCTGACACCAAGGCGACAAGGCGAGCCGGATAGAGGTGGACTGGAGCAAAACAGCCATCGGGAGGGCGGCGCGTGAGGCTCACGCGCAGAGGAAACCGCGGACGAAGGTGGCGCGTGAGGCAGAGATGGAGGAAGCGATCACTGGGGTTGGGTCGCGCTCCTCGAGGCGAGCCTAACCCAAGTGTCAGAGAGAGAAATGGCGCCGGGGAAGTACAGCACCAGCGGCGGACGGCAGCGAACGGCGGCTGACGGTGGCGAACGGCGATTAATGCCAGAAAAAGAACAGAGACAAGAAGAGTGGGATGAACCCGCTCTGATACCAACTTGAAATAGAAAAAAGGAAAATAAAGAACTGATTTTGAGAGCTTGAAATCATCTTCTTGTGTTCTCTTATTTATAGGAGATAAAAATACAGATTCAAATATACAATTAATAGAGAGAAATGATTAATCCTAGAGAAGATAAACAGATGCATTCTAGGAACTAGGTCTACAACTAATCTCATAAATGCCCACCAAGATACAATTAATCTAATAAATACTTCAACTGATATATAGAGAGACAGACAAATAAATAAAGAGAGAAGTAAAATAAAATCGACATCACAGTAAACAAACCTGAGTTGCAATTCCAGCATGATCAGCACCTGGAAGCCAAAGTGTTGGCCTTCCCTTCATGCGGTTGTACCTAATCATAATATCCTAGATGGATACATGATAAGCATAATAAGAAAAACATATATATATTACACACATAAAGTGTAAAAAGTTTATGTAGCACCCACAACTGGGTGGTATGGAACAAAAGAAACACGTAAAAAAGAAGAAATAACATATTTTCTTATTGTTCCCAATTTGATATTAACCCTTGTCCACGTAAATAAGGTGCCAACAAACCAAAACAAATTATAGCTTAAAAGTGTTAAACGAATTGCATCAGATATCCATTATTATAATTACCTTAATATAAAAAATGGAATCTCCGCAATATGAAAGCACCAAAATACAGAAGATACGCTTAACTTAATTGTATGACTGTTCATGTCATAATGTACAAAAATAACATGCATGGACTATAAATAAAATAAAAAATTCAAACCTCAAGTGTCACAAACATGGCATGACCCATGTGCAGAGAACCAGTAACATTGGGTGGTGGCATCGGTATCACAAAAGGATCACTTCCCCTGTCAAAGTTCGGCCTAAAATACCCTTGAGACTCCCACCTAGCATCCAATTATCACAATCAAAACATAATTCACTAATAACATACAAAATTACCACGTGAATCCTTTCAACTTAGATGTCAACAGAAAAACACAGAATACTTTGAGATTTAACCACAGAACAAATAAACAATAGAAAAACACAACCTTCAAAGTTTGAATCCTTTCAACTTAGATGTCAACAGAAAAACGAAAACTAAAAATGAAATAACTAGGACTGGAAAATGCGCCAAAACAGCCAGAACCAAATTTTGTATTAATACAAAACATCAAAGATAAAAATTAAATAATTTGAATGCAGAGAGTTATAACTCGCAAAGTTCTTCCGCGGCCAAAAATAACATCATTAAATAACTTTGAATGGTGCCAAAATAGCATATCACTAATTTAAAAAACATACATACCAATTGTATATGCGTTCTTCCGCGGTAAAGTCGAAGGATTTGGCAATCTCAGGAGACGTAAATACACCATTTTCTTTCTCTGACGCAGCAACTGATACACAATAAAGAAACGAATTTTACTGCGGTAAACCTAACTCTGTTAAGCCGATACTTTTTCGCTATAATACGAGAAAAGATAGAGAGCCATACAGAAAGTTACAATTGAAGAGATATTGCATTTGGAAAGAGGAATTAGGCGAAGAGAACCTGAAAGACAACGGCGCGTGCCAGAGAGAGAAATGCGATAACGGCGTGCGAAGAAGAGAAGAGAGTTGGGAGATGATAGGGGACAGAAGAGACGCGAAGAAGAGTAATAAGAAGCTGATAGAGAGAGCACGGTAGACATGGTTCACGGTTTCACTTCAGTGGCAAAAGAAGAAGCGTTGGGCTAGCAGCAAAGCGGAAAAATGGGATGAGGAGGGAAAATGTCATATCTCCCACAACAAATAAATTGACCAATATTTTATGTTTTTGATAAAGTTCTAAAGTTTAACCCCCGATTAAATTTTGGAAAAAAACAAATCCGCTATTAATCTCACAAATTTAAAAATTATTTTTTAAAATATGTTTATCTATAAATAAATAAATAAATAAATAAGTTGACTAAATTTTCCAATAAAAAATAGTATTGGTACAATATGTTTTTAATAACTCAATTCTCAACCATTTTTGTTTTTAACCCCTAAACAAATATTTAAGATAAATCTGAAAAATAAAATAAGACAAATTTCTCATCATTATTCTTACTAGAAATTTTTAAAATATGTTTTATGATTTTAAACTCTTACTCTTTTAAATTTTGATGATATAATGTTATAAAAAAGAGCAAATTTAATTAGTTAAAGTCCAAAATATAGTTGGTATTTCTAGAGTTTTATCCATAGTTTCACGAAAATTTGGTGACAAATGTAATACTAAAATTTCCAGAATGCATGAAACTAAACTTCTTGTGTTCGAGTACTTACAAAAATTATACCCCAACAGATAATTCCTCTTTACGGAGATTTTTCAAGGATCTAAAAATGAATATTATAAGTGTAATTACACAACATTTCATATTTATTTAATTTTTTTCATCCAACAAAAATATTTTTCCAATTAATTCTTTAAATTCATGGTAATAATATATAATATAATATACTTAATTACTTGGTTATACATAATATTACATTAATGAGACAATAATAAATATTAAACAAGAATAAATTATACTTAAAATATCTCAACAAGTCATATAAATAGAACTATATTCTCTATGTACACACATTAATATCCATTACTATTTTGCTAGAATCAAAGTGAGTCAACCTGGTTCACACGAGTGAGTTCACCACGGGTTAAGTAAAAAATAGACAAGTTCAACCTGACTCATTTTATGACGAGTCAAAAATTTAACAACTCGGCTTAACTTACTATAGGGGTTGGTGGGTTAGGTGGGTTGGTTTACTAACCCATATTTTTTTTCAATTTTTTTCTAATAAACACGATCGAATTGTGGGATTGAAACGAAATGACATATTATGGTGAAAACATGGTGGTGTGGTGACGCGACAAATGCAATGGTGCAACAAACGTGGTGGTGCGACTGAAACGTTATGGTGTGATGACATGTCAAATATTGTGACGTGATTGAAACACAGGACTGAAATGCGACAAATATTGTGAGGCGACTGAAATACGGTGACACGACAAACACAACGAACACAGTGGCACAATGGTGTGATAAACAGATGGCAAGCGGCCTAGGTGTAGCGGCGAACACAGTGGTGCGGCAGAAATTGACGATAAGTTTGAGTAAGAGTTTGGCTTGTAATGGTGATATGGAGTAAAGGTGGAGAGGTATGATAATATCAATTAAGATTACTAAATTATTATAATTTTATTTAAAAATTAATATGAGTGGTGGGTTATAGGCCAACCCACCATAACTCGTGGGTTAAGTGAGTCGGGTTCAGTTTTAACCAATTATCGATAGAAATTAAAAAAAAATTAACCCAACCCGACTTCAACTCATGGTGAGTCGGGTTGGCTCATGGGTTATAACTCATATTGACACTATTAACTTAAGTATCAAAAGTGTTTTCGCAAGTGGACTTCCACTATTTTTAACATTCATAAAGCTTGCCAACTAGATTTACAAGTGTTCATGAACAAGACCAACTTGTCTAAACTCCTTTGTCGATCTCATTAAAGATTTTTTATTATTATTCTTTTTGGCAAAAACATTTGGTACTCATCCTAGGGTCTAGACTAGAGTCTCACAATCTCTCCTACCACTTAGTCCTCAATTTTGGGACTATATTTTAAAATATTCATGAGTCTCATATTGCTTATAACTTAAGACTAATGGTAGTTTATATACATTCTCCTCTCTTATCTCAATAAGATACATTTTAAGAATAAAATCGTGATAGAATAAAGTTTCAAAGCAGACAATACATTGAACGTGGTAATATGATATTATCATAATGAATATGAGATCGAGATACTCTTGTAGCTAAATGAAACATTGGTGCCAACCATGTATCAAGGAAGCTCAAGAAATTTATTATACCAATTCACCATTCTAAAGATAGACATATTGTATGCTTTGATCCAACTTTATCCCAATCCTCTTGTTGGTTTTGCTAGTTAGTGAATGTTAAAATTAATTTAATTAATTCATTATATTATGTGACGCATGTGAAATATAATGATGAACCTATATGTGATTTAATAAAATATAAGAATTTATTGGTTATTATGGGAAGTCATAATAAAATAAAGATAAAATAAAATAAAAACTATGGTAATCAACTTTATGGACGTTGGTTAATAAAAGGGGATTAGGGTTTTGTCTCCGGCATAAGGTTTTTTTCATAGTAATCCATTAGAAAAGTGTGACAGGAGAAAGAAAGGTAAAGAGATAAATTGAGAAAAAGAGGTTGAAGAACAAAAACACTCGAAGAACGCATTCTCATTAGATATCTCTTATGAGTTAAAGTTAGTCTCCTTATTATGATTTATGTTATTATGTGATAATCATGAATTTAAAGATCTTGTATAATATTATTCTGGAATGAATTAGAAACGTAAGAAAACTGCATAATGATTTAGATGTGGTATTAGAACCATTGTTATTAGATTTATGATTCTCATCTTATGATAGTTTTTCACAAATTATGTTTTTCCCAAATTAAGATAAACCTTAATTATGAATTTAGGGATTTCTCTATCAAATTAGCATGAACCCTAATTTATCCTCAAGTTTGTTCATGAACCCTCATTATAAGTTTTAGGGATTTTACGTTTTCCGTTGCGTATGATAAATTTATGAATGCGTATGATAAATTTATGAATTGATTATATGGTTTTTCTACTGTGTGTGGTCAGTACATTAGTTATGTCTTCAAATTGGATTTAATTGTCAAGGGAATGCACTGAAATGTTTTCCCTATCACATGAATGAATTTGTGATTGAAATTAATGGAATGGTGTTATTCGATTCAATTGAGTGTTTTTATTGCAATGTTGCACATGTCTGGTGTAGACCCCTAATTTTGTCCGGTCTCTCAATAAAGGCTGAGAAGATTTCATATAACAAGACAAAGCTCGTTCGGCCTCTCAATAATAAAGGCTAAAGAGACTTCCTACAACAAAGACAAAGCTCGCCTGACATCTCTATAAAGGCCAAGAAGACTTCCTATATAAAGATAAAGCTTTAACGGGCGTTTATCGGCATCAAACGACGTCCGAATACACAAAGGAAAGCTTCCCGGGGGTCCCAGAACACGAATGCTGGCCAAAACAGGTCGAGACGGCCGTCCCAACCTTCCCTGGCCAAGTGGGACGGCCGTCCCAAGTGGGACTGCCAGTCCCAGCTCCCCAGGTGGTCTCAGTATATGTAAATCATGCAGTTGGGACGGCCGTCCCAACCCAGACAGCCGTCCCAAGTGTGCAGGCAGCGAAAACTATAAATAGGAAGCTCATTTGCCACTGTTTCACACACCAGACAACTCCTAGTACTTGTCTACCCTCTTCCCTCTTCGAATGAACTCTCTGATTGCCTTAATAAGGTAACAATCAGTTAAGGAATCATATTCCAGCATTCGATTCTTCTGTAAAATCGAGTCGAGTCGATCTTGTATTTGGAGAGGAGAGTCTTTGTAGAGTGAAGGATTGCCAAAACGCATCCTTGCGATCAAAGATTTGCAATATAAAGCTTGCTACGGAGGTTCTGTTCAATTCTCTTCTCTTTTACTGCTTTATTTATTGCTTTTTGTATGCAATGTAAAATAAAGTGATGTAGATAGCCATTTTAACATTATGCAATAAAATAGGGTAATCGCGTAATTTTTCATAATCTTCACTTAAATGAATTAATCTGTCATAGGGAACCCGAAAGGGGCGTTGTGAGGTGCTAACACCTTCCCCACACGTAACTAACTCCCTTACCTAACTCTGGTTATAATGGTCAAGTTTGGTTTTTAATAAAATCAACGCCTTTTTATCCTTTTCCAATGTTTATGGTCAAAACATTGGTGGGGACTCCAAAAGAACCCTTTTCGAAAACCTTGCTTTTATTAGAGGATAGTTCAGTTGTTGAGCACCTCGGAAGCAATGAACATAATTTTAACAAAAAAAACGCGAGTCTAAACCATCTTTTCACGACCGCTCGCATAAACGTTCGAGATGTCCCTGGATGTCCCTGGATGTCGGAACGGACGGCGGCGACAGATGGCGACTTTACTGGGGAAGCTAGAGAGTTGATCCCATTTAGTGACGGATAAATTCAAAAAGATTTGAAATTACGTCTTTACCCTTTTTCGTATGTTTTATTGTATGGCTTTAATAAATGGTTGTATGATTATTTTCTGCAAATTGTTTGAAATATAAATTGCACACAAAAACCCTTGCACACTACAATCCCTCTATACCCGGGGGCAAGAGTGAATACCTATAGGGAGTGGGTGACAGATACGACCGGCTTGTTGGCACACGGGGCTACAACCGTTGTCGGAAACCACCAACTCAAGGTGATAACTCTCTTCTTTTGGTCTAAGGATGTCGACACGGAGTTCCGTGCATGACCCGAGGACTGAAAGATTGAGAGATCCCTATAATGGGGGCACCTTGGGGACCTTTGGTCTTGGTGAGAACAGTTTAGAACCACCCAAACCAAGCACGTTTCTGCAGGAAAACCCTACCTCGTGATTAAATAAGCGTGGCTCTGCTCGTGGATGTATGAATTGTGTGTGCATTCGTTTGCTGCATTTGTATTGATGCATTAGCATAGGGTAATCATACAACAAAAATAATGAAAAACCCTAAAAATCATAAAAGTGATAAGATAAAGCCAACTTTATC